GTCATTTTAGTCTTGAAAGGTGATGGAAACCATTAACTTCTTCTAAATAGTCGCCAATTAATTTCTCTTAATCAATTAAATCTATTAATCAACTTAGCTCTGTTTTTAGCCTTCAAGTCCAAGTCACTTAGAAGCAGCAACAGGAGCTGATTGGCTAGATCTACCATTTTTTTTCTTCTTTTTTTTAATGCATCATTGTGGCACACTCCATACTGTCGTTCTTGCCTTTGCCAAAGTAGTAGTGTAACTGTAAATTGTAATAAATCCCGTCTTTTCTCTACCAGCCGTTGCAAACCCTCTTCATCTCCTGGCGGCCCACGCCTCAGCCTCGGCGTCCCTCCCTACCAAGAGGCAGAACGGAGAACTGCAAGACCAACCCGAATCGAAGAGAGTGAAAACGGAGGAGAAAGGGCAGGGCGACGCAGCAGCCGCCAACAATAACGGCACCACGGACAGAGCCGGAGAAGGGAGGGTCAGTGAACAGATCGGGGACAAGTAGCCTCCCCCCCACGGTCTGCATCCTGACCCCTGCTCTCCTGTACGCATTGAGCCTCACCCCTTTCCACACTGTAACCCCCCCACCCCCACCCCCTTCCTACCCGGTTATCATCTACTCCAAGGTGCCAAAAAGACAAGAGATGTGGAAACACCTGCAGGACTACAGAATGTTCAAAACCTCCTCCTCCTCAACCCCCAGTCTTCTTCCATATATTTAAGACCACGAAATACGATGCAAAAACTACAGACCAAATTGAAAATGGAATCAAAAGTTGCTGATGACTGTGAATCCCCGAAGTTTGAGACCCAGATGGCAAGAAGAAGCACCGGAAGAAAAGCCGATTTTAAAAATCCCGATTTTCCAGATCAGAAGTGACTTATTGGACAGGCGAGGAGTTCTGAAACTCCCCAAAGATGGAACCGAGCCTCATCCTGGTAGCATTACAGACAAGCGCTTAACTGTGTGTCGGATAGAAAAAGCAACCAAGTGAAATCACCAGTAGTGTATTCCGCAAAGGGACGTGTGTGTATGTACGTGTGGACATTCCCATCTTCGGCAGCTAGCCTCCATGTCGACCTACCTAACCCAGTCGTGAGTAGATATGCAGTATTCTGTTGTACAAGTGTATCTTTGGATCTTTTTTGAGTGTTTCTCTGTTTCCCAAGGCACAGATATTATCTAGTAATAATTAAGATAACTGAAAGCTATAAGTGGGGTCTTTAAGAACATTTAAACATGATATTTTGGGAAGCCTTTTATTTTTGTTTTTTGTATGTGGACTCTTTGTTCAGTGAAATGAATGTAGTCTCCTCTTTTCCTTTTTAAAGAAAACACTATCTATGGAGTGGATGTTCTTTATTTCTGCTCATTCATGCAAATGAAATTTCTTTATCACTGTACATCTACAAATTTTTTTCATATTTTACAAATATCCTATGAGATAAAAAGTATATTCCCATGCGTATTTGACCATATGCTTCATCGAGCTTGCATGTTACGGATCTAGAGACAATGTACTTGAGCAGATTATCTGAATATGGAACTGAAGAAAATTTAGACTGAATCTACGCTATATGATTCTGACCAGTGCTGCACTTAACCCTCTTCGTCTGTTTTGTTTTCCGTTTTTAAATATTAATTTGCTCTTGTTTTTTTTTTCCTCCCCTGTCATCATGGGCTGTGTTTATTACCTTTTGTGTTGAAGTTGGCAGTCTCTTTGCTTGATTATTTTATTCTGTTCAGGCTGCTAAAGTCTATTCGGATTGTATTCTATGTTACACAAGGAAAAACAAGCGATAGGTGTTTGTTCTGCTTCAGTGGGTAAATGCTTTTTGTTTTGTTTTGTTTCTTTTTTCTTTTTTTTATAAATTTATTTAAAACACATAACCTCTTCGTTTGTATTTCTTTAAGTAAAAACCTGCTGGGCAAATGCAAACTCAAAATCTGTCTGTGTGAAGAATTCTTTCTTTTTGTTAGAACGAGGGAAGATGAACTTCTAATAAGCCGCAGCATGCTGTTCGGTTTTGTTAAGGAGGGCTGTTAGAGGGGAGGGTGTGTGCCACAGGGGTGGAAATGCTGCCATTGAACACTATCCTCTTCCCTAATTGACAAAGAAAACAGCTCGACTCACTTACGTCCAGCACTAGAGCTGACCGGCAGAGTGCTGAATGGAACGACTGAAGGGTTGAGTAAGCGTTAAGCTAACTAGTTCATAGCACGATAGACCTCTTTCACAGCAGACAGTTTGGCTCGTCAGTCAGAAGAGCACAGGTGTAATTGATACATATGAGCTACTTCCAGGGTCCTGGTATTGTAACATGCTGGCTCACTGACATGGCTTACTTGGACACTGAGCCATTGTTAACAATGTGTTTCAAGTTGAAATGTGTGCTGTGGGGGGGCTATTCCAATACCTCAATTTCG